GTGATCATGTAGGATTCCTCCACATTCAGCAATCACATATTATAACACATAAGCTGTTGTCACAAGAGCACAGAGCAGATGTAAAATACAAACACTCACCCTTATTCTTGAGCACCTGAACCTCCAAATCATTCTTTTCTGAATCTTTCAGGTTGTCAACGGTGTAGTGGTACGTGCAGTCATCGTCCTCATCACGGAAACTGCATGACTCAATCACTTCCTCCTCTGAAAACGCAAATCGTGATCATTAAGCGTGTGTTATTACTGCTAAAAGTGTTTTTAAGTCAATTTGTAAGTTTTTACTTTTTTTCAGCTCGTCCACCATGATGACTTTGAACGGACACTTGTCACACTTCTCTGTTTCCTTCATCTCTCCCGTCTTCCAGGCCTGACACTGGACACAAGTCCTCGTGCCCTCACACACACCTAGCTGAGCCTAGAAAAGTTACGAACACACAAAGAGAAATTCAAGCAAGACCACTCAGATGTTAACTGAGGCTAAAAAGTATTTACATATCTACTTATCCACACACCTGGAAATTTGGCTCACAGGCTGAAGTCAACTCCATCCCAGAGTCTGAACATTCACACCGGCCACATACACATTTACCTCGACCACCGCAGATAACCTGGCACACACAAGGACACAGTCATGCGCTTCTTATATTTAAAGATACATGATAATTCAATATAATTAACAAATATAAATGGCTCTGCTCACCCCTTTGCTGTCCAGACAGGTCTGGCTGCTCGTGGGACACTCGCAAGCATTTCCTGTCCAGCCCTCAGAGCACGCACACTGACCCTTAACGCAAGAGCCACGGTCTGATGAGAGAGGAAAGAATGAGATGTAACATTTTTGTACATTTAGAGAGTTTTGGAAGTAACACTGCTGGAAAATAAGATCGCTATTATCAATATTATCAAGGTGACAAAGCTAACAAGCCCAGCAAACAAACACAATTACAATTTACTTAAGTCTTTATCTGCTAAATGTCCCTTTGACTTCTGACTGAAAAAATAAGCTAACATGAAAGTGTCAAAAATCTGCAGTTCCCCTAGTGGCCACTTGAGGCTGTCTAAAAATGTTCAAGAAGGCTGTGTTTCAGCATTAATGAGTGAATTTCCAGTATTTTATTAGCCTGCTGCCTAGCACTAATTTGTAGCGCCAAGCCGATAATTTCTAGGGTAAAATACACAAAATGACAAAGTCATATGGTGACATCACCGTGACTACATCCATTATTCTTAGTTTGCAGCGGCAAGAGTCACAAAACATCATAGTCTGGCATACCATTGCAGAGGAAACCTGCATGCCTTTGACACTGGGTCTTGTCATACTCGCAGTAGGGTCCTTCAAACTGATTTGGGTTGTAGCATATGCAGGTTCCACACTCCTGACATTCTCCGCGTCCGGAACAAGGTTCATCTGTTTCCTTTGCTTTGCACTGGTTGATGTCTGCAGCTGAACCACTCCCTGAACAATTACAGAAAGGACCCACCCTGGAGAGGAGACGTGACAGCAAACTATATTCAACCAAAAAGTCTGAAATGGTTGGTCATATGTGCCATCCTGGTAAGTTTTTTAAAATTATTTCTATAGAATAATTAATTAAGTCTCACCAGCCACCATGGCATCGACATTTCCCACACACCAGGTCTCCTTTTCCATTGCATCGAGGCGCATTACGAATGGGTGACTGGAGGAGAGTTAAAGATAAAGTCTTTTAAAGATGATCTGCCATAAAGAAATGTGACTTTAACTAGGCTTTTTGTGTGCTTCTAACCTTCTCACAGTCACAGGTTGGACACAAAATTGAGGCATCAACCATGACCCCGGTGCTAAAGGTGGTCGGTTTGACTCTCATTACTCTCTTGTTTTCATTCGGGTCCATTTTGCAGACGTGGTTTTCATCAATCATCCGTTGAGCTTTGAGCTGCGTCACAAAACTGCCCTAGAGATCACACAAACACACACACACAAAAATCATGTTTCCAAATCCATTTAGGTAGTTCCTCCTGTTCCTGCTTCCTGTGGTTGGCTAAAAAATCAATCCCCACAGACTGTCATGTGAAAATATCAAACTTTACAGTATTAAAATGCATTTTTTACAACCTGATTAAAAACTGTTTTGGCCTGGTTTCCTTTTATAACTCTGATTTGGATCCGGTTACATCGGTTTCATCATTCATTACTTATTAGGTTAACTGGTGACTGGCCGTGGCATGAACATGAGCATGTTTGGTTGTCTCTCTCTTGCTTTCCTGTTAAAGACTGGCGATGTATAGCTAAGTTGGATAAGCAAGAAAATAGATCTGTGGATGTTTAACAGGGCAAAAATGTGTACAAAACAGTGGTTTTCTGCCAGGGCAAGCAAAACCTAATGATTTGTACAGTGTATCCTTTTCCACTGTAACACAAATTTTCTCTTAGTAACCACTTTGGCCAAAATGTCTGGGGCTCATTGTCTCTGCTTGCCTTTCTGTAAAAGTCACCACATGCCACTAGTGAAAAATAATTATTTACTATTTGGCAACACAGTAAAATGGTTATTACGTTTGATAGAATAGCCTCACGTTGATTTTATGACTCTTTTGTTGTTTGCTTTATCATGCAGTTAACTGCAGTGTGTCTTAATTATGTATATCGGTTTTTTACAGTAAAATAGGGAGTGTGGTGTATACATTAGGGCTGCCACGATTAGTCGACTAGTCACGATTACGTCGACTATCAAAATCGTCGACGACTGATTTAATAGTCGACGTGTCGTTTGAAGCTTTGTAAGATCACAAAAGACGCAGAAATAAGTAGTAGGATTTAAGAGTGTAATAACGGACTGAAACAGAAGATGGCAGCACTGCATGTACAAGGATGCCAGCTGCCGTTAAACCCCGAAGAAGAAGAAGTAGCTCTGTCCCAGAATTCATAGCGCAGCCCAGCTCAGTTTCCAACAATGGCGGCAGCTAGTTAGTTTTAATATTACTCTTATTATTCTTTCTGGGTCACAAAATAAACGTTTAACATATTTTCAGGCGAGAATGTAGCTGTGTAAACCTCAAATATCTGCTCAGTTTATCAAGACACCACATATTTTCAAAAGCGCTCCGAAGTCTGTTACCCACTAGCTCGATAGTTAGCCGGGGGCAAAGCTCACTAGAGCCGTGAGAACCCCGGACTCCCGGTAAATCATTTTCAAACCCACCGCCGTCTTTCGCTACTCAGGTTAAACATATGTAAGTCACTTAGATAACTTTAAAATGTTATTGTTTGGCTTTTTTTAGTATTTTATTTATTCCTGAGTAAATCGGTTTGGCAGAGATTAAAGTTATAGTTTTTACACAGCTGAATAAACGTCAAGCAGACAACTGATCATAAGAACTGTGAGATGCTCGAGAATATACTCCGGTGTCCCGTTATATTTTAGAAAGCAAGGAGTTTATTAAACTTCACCAAAACAATCTGCAAATTTAATTAAAATTTAATAAACTATCATCCTGCCTTTATTTTTAGTTAGCACATACCTTAAACACTTAAAGCTGTAAGCTAATGATAGTTATATAAGAGCAGGCGCATGCTGGTGCAATAAGCTGTATGTTTTACGTCCAATGGATGCATGATCTGATTAGTTGACTAATCACAAAAATAATCGGTGACTTGTCGACTATCAAAATAATCGTTTGTGGCAGCCCTAGTATACATCATTTAAATTCTGAAAATCCCAGTTGTTGCCAACAAAAATAATAATCTATTACACAAATACATTCATTAGTAAAATAATTGTTTATATCTTTTTTGGCACATACAATTTTTCCCGGCTGGAAATTAAATTCCCCGTATTTTGCAATCTGTCCACTTTCTTTCAAGAACTTCGCCTCGAAAGCCTTGGGCCTGTCCTCTGCACGGATGCTCATCTTAGCTCGGATATTCTGAAAAGACACACAGTATAAAAACCTATCAGCATGCAGAGATTGACGGAACAGAGTACAAAGTGCTAGCAACCGTAAGCTGTTACCGTAAAGGCAGTCTCCATGACTTCAAGGATATTGGATGAGTCTTGTTGCAGCAGACCAACCTCAGCAATGGGAAAATACTCTTTGAGTTTCTGCACACAATACAAAAAAATGTCATGGCATATTTATCGCAGACTTTCGTATGACTTAAGTGAAATATGAAGATCTAAAACCCACCAACCTGGTAGTACGTATAGGAGTGGTCAGTGACAGCAAAGATTGGGATAATGTTGTTTTTTCCCAGGAGACGGACCAGCGTTGGTATTGATGGGTAATCCTGTTCTGTAGCCTTTGTGTAAGAACCGTCCTTGTCGAGATGGCATTGCTCATCATTGCGTGGCAAGACGCCTGCTAGCACATTAGCGCCATCAGCTTCATAGTGGAAGGCTGACTCCGTGGAAAAGACCAGGAGATGTGTGCTGCCTTCTCGCCAGCCAATTTTATCCTAGAATGACAAAATACAATGTAGCGCAAAAGATATGTGGTTTAGGGAAAAAGTGCATGTTCAACCGTTGCTGGTCAGAAGCCTTTCTTTCCAAATATTCTTCAAACAGTAACTCCTCATTTTCTGCCCACTTGGAAACAGAAGAAACTAAACTGTAATGGAAATAGCATCTATTTGACAGGAAAGAGCTATTGTGTTTATAAGCTACTTGGTAAATTTACCACCAGGGTTTTCAAAATATGGCCTGAAGGACCTAAATAACCTGTAAAACTAGTGTTCGTTTCATTACGTCAGACTTCAGTTCATATTATGATAGAGGAATGGAGCATTGTAGACATTGTTTTTCTTTTTTTAACTACTGGGAAAAAATATGTTTACAAAAAATTATAAAGTGGCACAAAAGTATAGTTATATGTGAGAATACTGAGAGTTAGTGTGTATGACACAGTACAGCATAAGTTGTCTGCCTGAATGAAGCTGCAGGCTTTACTTCAATTAACCAGCAGCATGTATTTTAATTAGTCTTTGTTGAGCATGATTATCATCTAGGGCTGGGCGATATATCGAGTTTTAAAAAAATATCGATATATTTTTATACGAGATACAAGATGTGACAATATCTTTTATATCGATATAGTCCATGTTACGTTATAATTATA